CCTTGGAAATGGCAGGCACTTAAGGAAGCATTAGTTCTTAGGGCATCTCAAGAGTGCAGAGCAGGAGAACTGTAATGCACTCAATGGCTTCTTAGTTGTCTCCAAGGAGAGATGTGCTTCCCACATCTCTGCCTTACTTAGCACAAAGGTGTCGGCACTTAGGGCTTACTTCTTTCTGGCTTTGGAGCTCTTTGCCTTTCTCACTATAATTAATAACTTTGGAGTCCATTCATAAAATATTGTCATACCATTTCAAGGACTACAGTAATATCACATCCTAATATGTAGCCATTTGACCATGTTGCAATGAAATGGCTGTGTTGATATATCTCATATGGTTCAGATACATTACTATACTAGTCAGTGTATGTACCACTGTCCTTGCTATGACCAACAGGACAGCTGGCCACACGCAGGAGGGTCTGCAGTGACTGACGGTCAGACATCTGCCCTCTGCCTCCTGGGAACATGCAGGCCTTCTTTTTGGACTTGCTGCCTCACTCACTGCCCCTAAAACCTTGTGGAATCAGCTTCTCTTGCTATCTCATGAAACACAGGAGGCCTTTTTAAAAATGAGAAAGCCTGTGTCTGAGTGATGCCTCCAAGGAAGCTGTCAATTCCTGTTCTGTCTTTCCCAGAATTCCCAGGACTTTGCTCAGTACCTGTCATTGATATCAATGGCAAGAAAATACAATTATGCAAGAGTGTGGAGATACAGTCCACTGTTGTCCTCTCAAAAATATTCATCAAAAGCAACATTCATAAAAATCACTACATTTTGCTGTTTTCCTAAGAGCTAATATCCTCTGATTTAAAAATTAAAGACAAAGAACATAAATCACATTTTATGTTAAATATATATTTTTCATTTTATATTTACATTAAAAAATATTTATAATCCCCATGTTATGATAGGTTCTGGGAAGAAACAAGACATAGAAAAGAACATAGAGGAAAGTAAACACATGCACACACACACACCCCAGAAGTGATAACCAAAAAAAAAACACTGCCATGGAGTTGGACCCGACTCATAGCGACCGCTCCTTGGGTTTCCCAGGTGGTATCACTACGGCAATAGATTGTCCAACCTTCCTTCCGTGGAATCGCTGGTGGGTTTGAACCACCAGACCTCTGGTTAACAGTCAAATACCTTAGGCACTACACCACCAGAGCTCTTCCTTCCAAGGAGTGGAAGCAGCCAAATACGCTAACAAAAAAAAAATTTTTTAAGTTAGATAGGGAGCTCTGGTAGTGTAGTGCCTAAGGCACTTCACTGCTAACCAAAAGGCTGGTGTTCAAAAACCCCCAGCCACTCCTTGGAAGGAAGGTTGGGCCATCTACTTCCTTAGTGATACCACCTTGGAAACCCAAGGAGGGGTAGCTATGAGTTAAGTCTGACTCAACAGCGCATAACAACAACAGGTGAAATTTGATTAGCATAATTTTATCTTAATTGATGGGGGATGAGGGTTCATAATACTATTCTCTCTACTTTTGTGTAAATTTTATGTTTTAAAAAAATCAACCTGTTAATGAAACCTAAAGCAGGCTTTTCAATAGGCTTCCTTTCCAGTGTCTCCTCTTAAAGTTGCTTCACTGTCTTCTTTGAAAACAGTGGGGTACTCCAAAGAGAATTGAGTAATATGCTCTTCTTAGTGGGGAAAAGGAAGAAAAAAAAAAAAAAAACAGTTACCATCAAATTGATTCCTGCTCTTTAGATTCCACATGTGTCAGAGTAGAATTGCTCTCTATGGTTTTCATAGCTGTCCTTCCAAAAACAGTTCCCCATGCCTTTCTACTGAGGTGCCTCATGGTTTGTTTGAACCACAAATCTTTCATTTAGTAGCCCAGCACTTAAACATTTGCACCACCCTGAGCCTCCTCAGTGGAAAAAGACCTCCTTTAGACCTCTTACTGCTATCGTAGAGATAATGGATGGAATAGCCTCACTCTTCACAGACCTACTTCCCAATGCCTGAAGCAACACTTCCAGAATTCCTACCTGGCATCACAGGAATGGTTTCAGCCTACTTCACTACTTCACTAATCCATATCTGTAAAGCTCAGAAGCAGAATCTCTTTGCTATAAGCAAAACTGACATTAAAGATAAATGTAGTGGCTACATAGAAGTCCCCTGATACCCTTACCAATACCACCAGCAAACAAAATACCTTCTTTTCTTGCTTTGTCCCCACTCTAGAACAGATCTGAGTGTTGGGTGGATGGCTGAAATTCATGACTTTGAATCTGCCTTCTAACTCAAAAAACCAAACTGCCATTGAGTCTATTCATAGTTATCACTCATAGTGACCCCCATTGGGTTTCCAAGGCAGTAAATCTTTACAGAAGTGGACTGTCCCGTCTTCCTTCCATGGAGCAGCTGGTGGGTTTGAACCACCAACCTTCTGGTTACCAGTCAAATGCCTTAGGCTCTACACCACCAGAGCTCCTTAATAAGAACATGTAAAACTAAAAAATCCCACCATTACAATCTCATTCCCTTATCTTTAGGTTAAATCTCTGTTAAAAGGCAAAAGTGTATGAGGGGTAGTTATTAGGCTGTTATTCAGAACTTAACGTGAAATAGAAAGAGAAGATCTCAGAGAATGAGATAGGAAGACAGAGGGAGAACTTGAGGTCTCTAACTCCTGGAGGGTGCAGGAAAGAAGATAGTTTACAAACAGAAGAGTGGAAAGTTTTTCAACTATCTCAAATTAAGACTAAAAAACATGATCTCAAGCCATAAAGAGAGTCACTTAACTGAGTTAGTGGAACAGAAGTTTATAGATGTGGAAGTAATGTAAAACACATTACCTACTGATATGACACTTATAATTTAGTTGGAGGGAGAAATTTTCTATACCTGCATGAAACAATGAGAAAACAATTAATGTGAACTTGGTTGCTATTAGCTCCACATGGGGTATAGCTAATAGCTTAAGAGTTGCCATTAGTAGGGTGAGAAAGCAATGCTGACTGAGGTATGGATGGAAGACCTCAGAGAGGAGAAGAAATTTCATCTAAACTTTCAATTGTGAGGTTTGGATCACCTAAGACTATTCACAAGAGAGAAATAATAAGAGCAAAAACACATAACAAATATTTATTAAGCACCAATGAAGTACAAATGGTTAACATACTTGGCTGCTAACCAAATGGTTGCTATTGAAGTCCATCCATAGGCACTGCAGAAGAAAGGCCTGGCAAAACCCTGTGGATCACAGTTCTACTGTGGAGTCACTGTGAGTTGGAAGTAAGGTGGCAATAAGTGGATATGGAGCATGTACTTTTTAGCAGTTAATTATGCAAAGATACATAAGCCAGACTCCCCACCTTTCAAAGGCTCACTGCTTAGTATAGAACCAGGAATGTGCACAGAGTCTTTGTCAAAAGTTTGGATATAAGAGTGAGTGGAAATAGGGATAAGGCACATAAGTCAATGATTAAAAAAAAAAAAAAATCACTGCCATTAAGTCGTTCCTTACTCATAGCAATGCTATAGGACAGAGTAGAACTGCCCATAGGGTTTCCAAGACTATAAATCTTTACGAAAGCAGACTGCTTCATCTTATTCCCACAAACCATCTGGTGTGTTCAAACCACTGACCTTTTGGTTCACAGCCAAATATTTTCACTAGGTCAGTGGTTGGGTGGTATTAAAGCCAACCTTGGATGACTCTTTGTGTGTGTGTGTGTGTGTGTGATTTGGGTGGAAATTTACAGAGCAAATTCACTTTCCATACAGCAGTTCACATACACTTTGTTTCATGACATTGACCACAATTCATCACAATGCAACACCACAATTCCCCTCCCACTTCCTCCCGACAGTCACTTCTTCCCTGAGACCATCCCTCCATGCACTGCTGCCCCCTGAGCTGTCTCCCTGTGCATAAACAGGCCTTCTATTCTCCCATGATTGTTCTCTCCAAGGAGTGTATCTACCTCAGGTACATGTTCAACTCCTTTGCCTGTCTGTTGCTTGGCTGGAAGCCACAGGTGTGGGTTCAATTCTAGAACTGAAGGGCAGTTAGGGGCCGTAGTCTCAGTGGTTCTACCAGGCCCTATCAGACCAACAAACCTGGTTCCTTTTTTTTTTTTTCCCAAATGCTTTTGAGTTTTGTTCCACATTATTCTACCTCTCTATCCAGGGTCTCCTACATAGATCCTCCTCTGAGTGCTTGACAGTGGTAGCCGGGCCTTGGATGACTCTTAAGCAGTCAACCAACAGAATGTTGTAGAAAGATTAGACTAGGGGCATATCTAGTAATTTGGAAGCTACAGACATAATACTACACTGTCATCTTAAGGTTCAACATAACCAATGGCAATCATTCCACATCACACTTCAATTGCTGTATGATTGGCATTTTTCTGCTAGGACATCAGTCCTATACTCTGGTGTTTATGCCTGATTGTTTTTGTTGTTATTAGTTGCCATCAAGTTGGATCTGATGCATGGCAACCCCATGTATAACAGAATGAAAACTTGCCTGGTTCTCATCATCCTCATGACTGCTGATAGGCTTGAGTTCATTGATGCCTTCCAACCTAGGGAGCTCATCTTCTACCACTATATTGGACAGTATTCTTCTGTGATTCATAGGTTTTCATTGGCTATTTTTTGGAAATAGATTACCATACCTTTCTTCTGAGTCTATCAGTCTGGAAGCTCCAGTGAAACCTGTCCACCATGGTGACCGATGCTAGTGTTTGAAACATCAATGGCATAGCTTTCAGCATCCTAGCAACACACAAACCACCACAGTCACAACAAGCTGACAGATGGCAGTGGTAAGCTTGATTGTCACTGCCCTAATCTGAAAATCAGAAATATTCATATTCTTGGCTTTCTTACTGTGACAGTTGTAAACACTAACAGCACCAGGCACACCCCAAAGCTATTTTGCACACTGAAAAGCTTGGATGAATAGAAAGGAAATTTTGAGTTTTCAGTTTTGCAGTTATTTAAAGTAATTCATATTTTCTGTTTTAGGTCGAAATAAGTAATGATATTGACTCTGAAATGCGGCTGCTGAACTTGAGTTAGGAAGCAAAGCACTGTCGTCAGGCCTTCTGTGGATCCGACACGTACCACTTTCCATCCAGAGGAAGGACTGTGCCTCCTGCGTTTCCACGAATCACGGAGTTCTTTGGTTACAGCTTGTGTATTATTAGCATTGTCACTAGATGAGTTGTAGGTGCTTGGGTGGTTATTTTTTTAGTCACTTTCTTCTTATATGAATACATGTAAATTGTAAAAAAAAAAAAATTGGTTATTAATTTTTTAACAATATTTAGTGTGAGGCATGCAAAATTAAAAAAAATTGTGACCACCTTCTACAGTCAACTCTAAGAGAAATATTAGTGTGTATTGTTGAGAAGTTATGTCAGTATTGCTGACTGATGCAATTATTCTAGGCCTGATGGTGTTTGTGTTAGCAGACATTACCTGTGGTTACTAAATATGAAGCTAGATGTGTGACAACTGATATAATGGGTAGAAATGATGGATCTGGCTTTCAAATCAAATATGTGTCATTTTTTTCAATGCCACAAGGGAAAACAAAAAGTCTTCCTTTGTCCTCAACTTTCCAGAATCCAGAATAATATTATGGCAATCTCAACTTTCAGATTCATGAATGATATGTTGCTCTTCCTGTGTTCTGAAAAAAATATACATCATGGGTGTAAGGGAGAGTGAAATGATTAGTAGAACACCTTTCCCCTTTGGATAGAATATGAGTATCTCTGAAGTTTAATTTTCTACACTTTATCCCACTCCTGACACTCCTGTCAAACCAAAATGTACAGCTTGTGGGCTTGTGGGACTGCAATCACCTCCATAAATCTGCAATCAGAACTTTGCTCTTATGATATTCAAAAGGAGCATTAAAATAATGTGAAATTCTCTATAAATACTTCAAAAGCAAATTTTGAAGTATTTATATTTGTGCTACATCAACCGTTCTTTCTTCTACTGCTTCCCAATAGCCAAGAAAATGATAGGGGAAATAATTTTCTGTGGAAAAAATGACTGTCTTGAAAACACATCACAGCTTTCCACTCATGTCTCTCAATTGCTATTTCCCTTATGAAAATATGTTTTGCTCACTTTGGATAATGACCACAGTGAAGCTTCCCACAGACCACAAAAGTGTGCACATGCCTACCTCTTACTACAGAGGTACTTGGTCCATGAATATCTAAGAAGTCAACCATAAACCACCTAAAATATATGCAAATTTTATATATGTGTAGAAGTCTGTATTTTTTTTCTTTTTTGAGTCCATAGATTTTATCAAATTCTGTTAAGAATCAGAACTTAATGCAAGAACATCTGACCTGTTTACTCCCAGATCATTACAAACATTTAGGGCTTATTGGGGGCCTATTTTACTCACTGAAGTTCCTGGGTAGGACAAATGATTAATATGCTGGATGGGCTGCTAACTGAAAGGTTGAATGTTTGAGTTCACAGAGTCTCCTTAGAAAAAAAAAAGGCCTGGTGATTTCATTCAAAAAAATCAGCCATTGAAAATCCTGTGGAGCATAGTTCTCCTCTGACATTCATGGGTTTGCCATGAATCAAAGTCAATTCAATGGCATTTTTATTTTATTTTTTAACTTCTTGTGCTCCTTGGGTCAGCTCACATCTCACTCACTACCATCACTTTTCCTCCTATTAATAAATACAAATTCTAAATGAAAAAGAGTGAGCAGGAATCTTGGAGATCATCAAGTCCAAGGCATACATTCCACAAGTGAGGGAGCTGAAGCATAGGCAACTTGGTAAACTTGTCCAATGCTCTGCCTTTGTACAGAAGGCCAAGAGCTGTAGCCAAAGGAAAGAGAATTTAGAGAGTAAAAATTTGGCTTTGGGTCCCAATTCCATCAGTGTGGCCTTGGACAGTAGTCTTTAACATTCTAGTGCTGGAAGTCTTCCTCATCTATAAAATGGAATTATAATACCTACCTCACAAAAGTGAGGTGAAAATTAGTGAAAAACTAAAAACGAACTGTAAACTGTGTGCATGGGGGGAGGGGGAGACACTGCCATCAAGTCAATTCCAACTTATGGCGACCCAGTAGGGCAGAGAAAAATTACCCTATAATGTTTCCAAGGCTGTAAATCTTTATGGAAGCAAACTACCCCATCTTTCTTCCATGGAGCGGCTGGTGGGTTGAAACCTCTAAACTTTTGATTAGCAGCTGAATTCCTTAGCTAATGCACCAGCAGACCTCCTTGTAAACTGTGAGGCACTCTTCAATTTTAAGAGGAAGTTATTATTGGATGACGTCAGAACAGCCCTGTCTGAAGCACTTGCTGCACACCCAAGCGCAGGACAAGCTGGTGGGGACAATAAATCCTCTCTCTTCTAAAAGCAGTTTCCAAAAAGGATACTATGTTTCAAAGATTTGAAATAACGAGACTAAAAATTGATTTAAAAAAAAAAAAACATAACTTATATTCAAATTCCAAAACTTGTTGTTAGGTACAGAGAATTAATAAAGCATCAAAAACATAGAAAATAGCAACACAGAGGATAAAATTAACATTTAAAACTATCATTTCATCACTTCCCACACAAAAAAAGAAGTTAACATTTTTAAAATGTTATCATACTATTTCATCTTCATGTGAATCTGTCCCTATTTCTAACATGCACTGCAGTCCTAGATCTTATCTTACTGCAGATAACTTTGAGGAGGAAATCCTTGCATTAGTGATTTTTCTATGAATATTCAATATAGGCAACTACTTAATATGGTATATGTGTTTTTTTTTTAATCTTTCTCCATTAAATAATGAGGTTGTAAGTGTTTTAATCCCCAACACCAAAAAAAAAAAAAAAAACTTACTGCCATAGAGTCGATTTCAACTCATAGCCAACCCCTCCTTGGGCTTCCGAGGCAGATTGCTCAATCTTCCTTCCTAGGAGTTGCTGGTGGGTTTGAACCTCCAGCCCTCTGATAAGCAGTCAAATGCCTTAGGCACTATGCCACCATTAATCTGGACAATTCTAACATAACACTGTCAATGATTATAGGAGTAAGTGTTTCCAGTTCTTGCAGACTTTGCCACTTGTTTTAGGGAATCCACTCTGCACTGTGCTTCATCCCATAATGTTTTAACAAAGTCATGTTCAACTATAGTATGTTCTTGCAAAAAATCTTGCAAAATCTTGGCTTTTCCATGTTCAGGTGTGTGACTAGTCAGAGTAAGGGAAAGTAACACATCTCTTAGCCTGTGGTCATTTGTCATCCTAAGAGGTGCTGCAGCTCTAGGCTCAAGTGCTCTCCTCAGAAGTGGTCCTGGAAAGCTGAAGAGTGAGCTTCCACCCCCAATTAGCCTCTCATACTGACCTGAGAACAGAGGTAGAAAAAATAGAAGTGAAAACATAAAGCCACTATTTTTTCCTCTTTTATCACCTTGGCATTGTGGCTTACAAACCTTGTCCAAGCCTTCACTCCATGCCTTCTACCTTGTGAGAATCATTTCTCTTTCTTAAGTGGCTTGCATTGATACTGTGTGGAGCCACAAAAATTTGGGATGCTTTCAAGTTTATTTTTTATTTATCTCTATTTCCAGTCATATTTTAAGACCAGCAGAAATTAAACAGTAGTTGTAGGGAAGAATAGAGAATAACCAGGGGACCTATATTTTCTTAGGGTGCGGAACAATCTACATCAGAGAAATCCGAAACAGCTCATAGGAAAAGCTGTAAATTAGTGCTTCTTCCAGTATCTTTGCCTTCTACCTGCCATATAATATAAAGATACATAGTTATGATGCAAATGTTGTTAACACACTAGGTTGCTAACAGAAAGATTGGAGATTTGAGGCATCTCAGACAAAAGGCCTAATTATCTCTTCTGAGAAATCAGCCATTGAAAATTCCATGGAAAATCGCTGTACTCTGACATGCATGGTGTCACCATGAGTTGGAATTCACTCAACAGCAATTGGAAAATCATAAAACAGAAACGGATGTCTATCTTACTACAAATTTAAGGCTGTTATCTCATTTGTTTTGAATTTGGTATCTTTGCCTAGCAAAATACTGACTTCTTTTTTCCTTAAGAAAAATGAGTCCTATTGACCTGAATAAGGGAGAGAGCCAGCTTCTAGAGGCTAGATCTAAAATAAGATGACAAGGCTGCAATCTGTCTCACTCAGTGAATGGGATATTTCTGATTGAGGGGATTTGTCTTCATTAGAACCAACTACAGCACAGTTACAGAGCTGAGAAAACCATCATGATTCTTTGCTAAATTGAGAAGCAAATAAAACACAAAATTGCTCTTTTCAATCTTTGTAAATTAGAAAGGAATCTTGCCAAGAATAAGCAGATCTTAATTTTAAACTTATTTTAAAAATGTATAACCACTCCCATCACGTCGATTCTGACTCATAGTAACCCTTTAGGACAGAGTAGAACTGCCTCAAGATTTCCAAGGCTGTAAATCTTTAAGGAAGCAGACTGCCTCTTTGTTCTCCTGCAGAGTGGCTGTGGGTTCGAACCACCAAACTTTTGGTTAGCAGCTGAATGCTTTAACAACTATGCCACCAGAATGTCCCCCCAGAAATGTGGACACAATATGGAGTGAACATTCTGGCTCATTATTCCTTAAAGGAAATATTCTATCATTTCTGAGTTACTTTAGTATGTAACTAGGAGAAATCTTACAGGTAATTAGAATTCAAATGCTCTAAGTTGACATTTTAACCCATTGAACCAAATCTGCATTCAAGTGGTAGCTTAACTAAGTAGGGAAAATGCAAATACTCAATCTTTTTAAACTTAGAGAAGTTGAATTTCTGTCTCTCTAGTTTCCTTCCTATTTAAGAGTCACCTTACACCTTGCTTGATAGAAGGTCTGTTGAGTGTCTAAGAACCGTGTTCAAATATCTGTTATAAATAGGCCTGCAATTTAAGGATAATATAGTGGTGCTGTGGTTAAAGCATTGGACTGCTAACCAAAAGGTCAGTGGTTCAAATCCACAG